AGTTAATCGACCACGCTGAGCATCGTGGCGATGTTCATTTCATTGCCCACTCAACCACAACTCCAGAAAACCCAATTTGGTGAAAACCCGGTTTTTCGTCTGTTACCGTCAAAAATTAAAAAAACCGTGTATTTCACTCATTTCTCGTCCAAAAACACTCAAACTTTCAGGGAATGATTAGCAGAGATCATAGAATGTAAATCGAGTTGAAGAAATTACATAAGGTTTTCAGTTTATGCATACGATTTTTTAGCGGATCTTTGAAAAACCTCCACGGAATCAAAGCTCAGACCAGATTTTTTCCACTCGAGCTACATCTGGAACCAAAGGAGATGACGACCTGGGCCTTGCGTAGTTTTGAAGAGAAATCTTTTGGTTAATGACTGCTATTATTTGAGATTGAATGTCACAGTGTATTTTGGGAAGAGTGAGCTTTCTGATTTTGTCTCGAATGGTCCACTATGGCAAACCTGATCAGACGTCCTGCTTTTTTCATAGATGTACGTCCCAGAGTGTCTAGTTACAGAATCTGAAAACCGCAGATCTCTAGCTCTCTTCGTTGGAAAGTTATAAGCATTTTGCCGGAGCGCATTCTTTTTAAATTTCGATAATAGCACCAAAATAGTTATCGATTATGTTAAATTTCATAGTGATGCTGTTAAGATTGAAAACTCTTAACTTACTCAACGATGATCCAAATGACTTCAACTTTAGAATAAGATGTAATGAATCTTGAGTGCAGACGACACTCTGAAAATTCAGGCCCACTTATAAGACACAAAAATCCATTGTATCTTGTAGTCTGAGAGTCTCACTTTCCAAAGATTAGTGAAGTAGACCAGCTGAAGTGACATTTCTTATTATTGTTCTCTTCAGGTCACTGAAAACAGCTGATCTTTCATCTCTCATTATCCGAAAGTTATTCAAAAAACACACATACTATATGTAGTCTACTATGAGTAAGATAGTAACTCGAAAAGTAATAATTGACTGCATTATAGATCTAGAAATTATGGCCAGCTTTGTTTATGAAGTAAAAAGATCAGTAAAAAGGAAGAAAAATATTGTTAGTTTTCGATACTTTGGTAGAATTGGCGAAGGATCTGAGTAAGCGATACGTGTTTCTTTTAGAGATCAAATAGTATTGAAAAGTTTATATATTTATAACTGCAGAACAAGTTTCTTATGTGTTGAGACATCCGATTAACATCCTTCATTCTTTCTTAATAATTTCTTCTGATATTAGTGCGTTTATTTAGCTCTTTTTTCTTAAGCGTCTCCAGTTTGTTGTGTGTATAGCTTTGTATCCATCAATTTTGTAACATAAAACTCGTCAACAGTAAAGATTAAAGCTTGCACATGGAAGGAAATTAGACAATGATACATGATATAGAAGCATAAAAATCCAAGTATTTACACAACAAATAAGAAAAATCGTCCAAACTAGTATAAATTCGTCGGTTATAGGTGAGGTTTTTAGTTAGTCTATGAGTATTCTCTCTGAATGAGAAATCAATAAGCTTAGAAAATCCACGTCATTTCTAGATATTAGTCAATCTCTTATTTTTTTTTGGATTTTGAAAATGTTTCTGATGAAAATCCCATTGTATTTTATACTTATACTTGTCTATTTATCATTAATTAATACTCATCTATTACAAAAACTGCAAGATAAATTGAAAAACGTAGCCAACAAGAAATTTGGTTTTGGTAAATCATCATATGATTATGAAGAAACGATGTTGTTTCCAGATGTCGGTTTTGAAAAAAAAGATGGTGACTGGCGTTTAAATTTACACGGTTGGAGGTTTAAGATTTCAAAACGAAATAAATTTCTTGGTGAATCGTCATCATCGATTGCTCAGCGTTTAGCTCGTCTAGTAGCTAGTAGCGAACAAATTGTCTATTTTAATGACTCATTTCGACGTGATCGTTTGAAACCATTCATGGTTCAAGATAAACCATATGAAAAAATTCAAATAGAAATTGGTAATCAAACATTTTCAACAAAAACAGATAGTGAAGGACAATTTCGGACTTCATTTTTGTTGAAAAATGCTGATATTCAAATGTTAAAGAATAATGGACAAATAGCCTATCGTGCTATTGGAGACAATAATGATACATCGAGAGGAATAGTTTATCTATTGGAACGGAAGGGACTGTCCGTTATTTCGGATATTGATGATACAATTAAAATATCAGAAGTAGTGGATAAAATTCGACTAATGGCAAATACATTTATACACAAATTCAGAGTTGTCACTGGTAAATGTCAATTTCATCGTTGTTCAAGACAATAGAGATGGGCGAGAGACGAGAATCTATGGGTGGTGAGCAAAAAAATCGTCCTATGCCCATTTCTAGAAGATAAGTGCCTCATTAATGTCCTGTTGTCTTTTTAGGAATGCCCGAGATTTATCGTACATGGCAAGAAAAACATAATTGTACATTTCATTATCTGAGTGCTATGCCCGATCAATTGTATGCAGTAACCAAAGACTTTATAGATGATCAGGAATTTCCTGAAGGTTCGTTTCATATGAGGTATGTTCTTCTCGTGACGTTCGTCTGTTCTCACGATAACGTCATATAAATAATTTTTTTCAGACATTTTCGTTGGGCGTCAGCGTCGATCTTCAATTTTGTTCACTCTCACGGTACAAATAGAGTGACTTTCTTCTAAATGTTAAACACTTTTTTCTCTCTTCTTTTAGATACAAAAATGCATAAGATTAATCATTTACGGTATTTTATTTACAACAGTGTTCGACAATTGATACTTGTTGGTGATAGTGGTGAACTTGATCCAGAAATCTATGGTTTAATAGCACAGAAATATCCAAGACGAGTTCATTCTATATTTATTCGTGCCGTCAAAGGTGAAAAGGGTAACGAAGAACGATTCTTGAAAGCATTCAAAGACATACCAACTGAAAAATGGATGATCTTCACTAATCCAGAACAATTACCAAAAGATTTAAGTCCAAGAAAGATAACAACGTAAACACAAAATAAAGCAATTATACTGCTTTTAAAACTCAATTTATTTTGAATCTTGGTTTAGTTCATATATATACTTGTAGATGATTTCATCTAATACTATCAAAGTGTCAAATTTCTCAAAAATTCATTTAAGAACAGTCTATATTGATGTGTATCATTTATTAACAGATTTTTGTCATGGCTATTAGTTAAGAATTATATGAAACCTTTTTTTAGTACAAATTGATGAATGGTATGTGGCTTAGTATATAATCTTTCCTTAATTTGAAACGATTTTCATTGAGCAAACAATTCTTTTTATCAGTGGTATTATAGCAACAATTTAAAAGCAATTATCGGTAAGAATCGAGCAACATCATCATACAAGTACTAATTGTTACAGTAACAGATTTGACTAAAATGTACAGTATACTTGGTTGTATATAAAGTATATTTATAGTTCATATGTCAGTACTCAGTTCTGCTTTGTTCACGAATTGCAGAGAACATACTACTAAAAACTTTAACAACAGAAAAATATAAAATTTATCGTAAAATATTTTTTTCCATTTTAAAAATGCACAAAAGATATCTAAAATTGTAGATATATGCATACTTTGAAGTTTGAACTATCTTCTTCTCTATTTTCAGATCATAGACCTCTTTCTAATAACTGAAACCCTCGGTTCTGATGATCGACATGGAGAAAAGTTTTTTTTTTGCTCGTTTTTTTTCTGCTCTTTTTCTATATGAATCTAATATAATTATTTTCTATCAAGTACAATATATCGACAGTTTTAGCTAATTCTTAATTTAAAAAAAAACAGTTTTCTGTACTATGTTTTGACGTGGATGATAGTATGTTTTGTTTTATCTCTTTTGAATGCTTTAAGGAATCTGTGAAACTCATATACTAACATAGTTATACTATAATTAACTTATACTAAAAATATCAAGGAGATCATCTTACAAGAAAAACTCAGATCCCAATAAGTTATAAAGTATTTATTATTAAAATAATCAGTATATTAAAAAACAATATATTATTTTGATCAGACAGTTTATGGATCAATAATAAATAATAATAACATTCTTTCTTTGTTTATTCTTAACTGTTTATTATTATTATTGTTTATTGTTATAAACAAAAGTGTACAATATACATACAATAGAATGCTTTGTCAAAATCGAATGTAAAACAGCGTGTGTTTAGATTGAACTGTTTTAAACAAAATGACGACTCGAATCACACGCGACATCGTTTCAGGAAGATTTTAGTTCTTTTTGAAATAGGAATCGTTTTTCTCATTATAAGATTCTCGACTAAAAATTAAGATTGTAAAAAGAATTTTTCTGAATTATAGTCAAGAAACCAAGTATCGATACAGATTTGCTTCAAGATCGACCACTAATGATATTAAATAACAGAAGAAGAATATTTGTTCAAAGCTTAAAATATTGAACGTTATGGCATCTATTTTATTTATCAAACAGTAACAGCAATTATTGTATGTATCTGGCGGTTAAAGATTCATTGACCATAATAACTTTTTCTATACACTTAAGCATTCAATAAAACTATCAAGTATAAGATTAAATTGAAGGTGATTCAGTGTAATATTTTTGATCAACGACAATTGAATAGGCTAATTTATATATAACTAAAGGCTTAATCTAATCATTATCAAATATTTTTCAAGGTCATAGCTATGAGTGTTTTTGAATTATTCTATCAATTGACTTTCTCAAAAAGATAGAAAAATACTAGTTTTATCCATGAAGAGCTGCTTTTTCTAACCTATTCCAATCTAGGAAAAACCTCAGACAGAATTTTATATGATAACACCTTTCTATAAGAAATTGATGTAAATCGACTGCTTGTTATTTTATTTTCGTAGTCTAAGTATTAGTTTATTTTTGTTTTAACCAATTTTTCATTCCTGTCACTCTATTGACAATATGAAGGTTCTTTTTCTGTAACCATGAATAGAGGGTTGGCCTAGAAACAACACGAGTTGGCTATCGGTAGTCCAGGGGTGCTTCCCACTACTGCAGCCGTGGTGGATTTTCGAAAAGCATTTCTGACAGGCATGTACAAAAGAGGTGTTAACACACAATGAAATCCACTTATGAATTTTGTTGCACATTAAATATTCGTTGTTGCACTATAATTCGCATATATCTGCGTCTACTGTACTAAGTAGAAAAAATCAATATTATTCTTTCTTTTACCACGCTTTCGATCAGTGAATGTAATAATTGAACAATTCCAACCGGTATACTTTGCTTTTTATATCTTTTTCATTTACATGTACAACGTTTAATAACATAGAAAACAAAAATGAAACGGGTATCATCAATATAATGTTTACATTAAACTGCAAGAGAGAAGATTGAGTCGAAATCAAGTCCGAGTTGTCTCAGAAATTGACTCGAGTCTTCTTGAGTCATCTGAAAAAGGTAAATTTCTCATTGATTCATTGTTCCAAGAAGAACTTTCAGCTCACCTCTATTTCTCTTGTAAGTCTTCAATCCTTTCATGGATTGAAATGCTATAGGAGTACTTAGAATATTCTCAAATCTCTTTCTTTTCTCATACATATCACATATAATAAGTATCGTCATAAGAATCCAAACTTTCACATGAATGACACGATATACTGACTTGACTCAATTTATCAAGTCCGAGTTCGAGTCTGAAACATAGAAAAATGCGACTCTTCCATCTCTAGTCTGTAATTATAGCAAAACAAGTTAATTACGTATATATGCACAAAAATGTATTTATTTAGCCGTTATAATCCAAAAAACATAAAAAAAAGATAAATATCATATTAACTATAAGCGTATCATGTACAATTTTGAAAAGTAAAATAATTTCTTAATAAATGTAAAGGGTATGTTTCTTCTAATCGTATTCCTCACTACGTATAAAACTCGCTAGAACTAAGAGAATTATATAAAAAATATGTAAATGATAAATTATTTTTTCACACACTATATATGCTTATTGTTCTCGCTCTGTCGACTCACAGGTATATTATCAACACATACACACAAAACAAAATTAACTTCACTGTTACTCATCGTTTGGGTCAACCTTTTCAATCAAGAGGTATATAGTGTATGTAGACGCGAGTAAAAAAAAATAACATAATTATAGGCTATAGAATCCATACAATGGGCTGATAATTGAGGAGTCGATGTTGTATCTATCATACAGTAGTACCGCACCGCGTCGTCTCGAGAGTTAACGTCCAAAAAAGAATTTTTATGTTATCCATTTGACTTATGTATCTTGTGTATAAATGCAAAAAATAAAGAAAAAAAACAAAGAAAAAAATTTCAAAATGAATATATTGGGGTGTGGTTTAAAGACAATATTTAATATTGATGGCAATCGTTTAATTTTATTTTCAATGAGTAAAAGTTGGATGATAATCTGTCAGATTCACTTCTTCCTCTTTTTCTTTTTTTTTAAACATGAAGTTAAAGTTGAGAAACGATTTTGTTTTTTAGTATAGTTGTAGTCATTGTCTTGTCAACATTTTCAATCAATCTTTATTTTCACTTCAATCATGAGATGGATGAACAAAATCAGTTCAACATTTCTCTTTCTCTTAAGAGTATATTAATGAGGTCAACACTACTACATATTTTAGAGATATAAGGATAAAATAATTGAACAATATATTTTTTTGTCTTATCAGTAATGAATAAACATTTGAGAATCAACAGCTTATCTGAAGAAGCTTCTACAAAAATGGATTTTTCTTCACTAGAAAAACACACACCTGAATTGAATAGTATAAATAAGGTGTATCAATATATTATTTTAAAACATATTAATCATTTCTTCGACAGTATCTTACGAATGTGTTCACATTTTTTTTTCTTTTTTCTTTTTATAATTCTTGTGATAATTGATCAAAATTGTCACCTCTCAGATATTTGTGATTATAGATTATTTGTGATCACATGTTTAGACACGTCTAATGTATCGTCAATTATGTGTGTTGCATAAATTTTGTCAAGGATAATAGAAATGAGCAAAGTACAAAGTAATCAGTACAGTAATTGTCCAAAAATTTTTTGTAATTGTTAATTAGAAAAAAAGTTCACTTTTTGTAAGTCATTATGCTCTTTATTTCTGTATAATAGTGTTTTTTTTAAAAAACTTTAATATTGAGAAAATTAAACTTCATCATCGTTTTATCATCAGTCTGATGAATGAAGACGAAAAACTTCAAAAGTTTGTAGAAGAATATTTAACGTTGCCTGTTTAATTTTTACAATATAATGCACTTAGAAAACTTTAATTTCAAGTAACTAATCTCTTATCTTATTGAAGATAGACGAGGAAAATTGTGTAAAAAAAAAAAGATAGTGATATTAATTGATGGATTCTATATTTCTTTTCATCTTTTTATATTCAATAGATAGGCTAATGGGATGGATAGTTTTTATTTCACAAAGAATTGTCAGATAACTTGATTCGTATGGATATTATTAAAATTAAACCATTTTACTTTCTTTTGCGTCTATAGTTGTATGCAATATATATACAAGTGCAGAAGCTCCCATACTACCTATTATGCATAAATATATGTGTAAGGAAAAAAATCTGTATGCGTGTTTGTAGATTTACTAAATAGAGATTGAATGTGTGTATATACATCTTTTTCTTCTTTTTCTTTTTAAAAAAAGTGGTGATGGTAGTGATGATGAACGATATGGATGAATGACCAAAAAACGGTTTGAAAACCTTAAATTGTATGAGTAGGATGAACACTATCCGACGAAAAGAGAAAATGAGAATTGTATGAATGTGAATAGGGTAAGCAAACAAAAAAATAAAATAATTGAGTGAAACATTTTTAAATTGAAGATATTAGAACGACGATTTTTGTTAAATTGTTTTAACTACACTTAGAATATCATTGAATGTATAGTAAATAGAAAACAGAAACAAAGAAGGATGTCAAAAACAGAAAACAGATTAAAAAATAAACTTGGTAAGTTTAATTTATGTTGAATTTTATCTAATCAAAGTTAAAGAATATTTTGTTGTTTTATACAAAAGAAGACTATAAAAAAAGTCGATTAAAAAAGATATTGAATAATAAAAGAGTGACGACTGATCTACTGTACCTGTGAAAGTTTAAAAACATTTTTAAACTGTACATCATAATTTTTGTCAGTTTAAAGCGTTTAACTAGTGTAAAGACAAAAAATCGTGCTGAATATAGTGTGAGTGACGAGAAAAGTAATTTGTACTTTTCAAAATAACACATCAATTATATTAGTTCTTTTTCATTTTATATTTTAGAGGCTATAATGAAGTTTCAAAATTATTCAACTTCACCCACAACAAAAACGACATCAAGTTCGTCTTCTCGTAATAGTGCTGTTGAAAAAGCATTATGTTTCTTTCGTTCACTTGAACTAAAACATATTGATTCATTTCGATCACGAAATTCATCGAAAAATGGTGGTAATAGTAGCACTACATCATCATCACCAAAACGAAATGGAAAAAATAATTCTTCTTTACCAGTATCACACAATTTATCGTCTAGTTCATTGTCATCGATTGATGATACCCATAACAGTCAACGTAAAATTGTCTGTTATCCTACTCCTACCGAAACACTCTCACCATCCTACGCTCAAAAAATAGAATTATGTCGAATATCGTCAGATAAAAAACAAAATATTGTTGTACATCGAGTAAAAGATACAAATTCTTTCTTATATAAACAACAACAACGACAACAGGTTCCGATACCATGTAAAGAAATACCGTTCAAAAACGATCCATATCAAACTTGTTATTCAGAATTAAAGACTCAAAGGCAACAAAGTAAGACATATCAATTTACTGTTATCAAGTGTATAAGATACAAATAGTTGAATTTCTTTTCTTTTTAGATCCATCAACAGTGGTATCATCATCTCCATTATTATCAAATTTTCGTACAATTCGCTATGCCAATGTAAATAATACGAGAAATAATGTTCCTGTTGTCGTTGATCATTATTCTTCATGTGATGAAACAGGAGAATCCTCCTCATATTATTCACAATCATCAAATCGTATGATTAATCATAATTCGACATCGTTGTATCGTTATCGTCCACTTGTTTGTCGAAATTTATATAATGATTATAATAATAATCATTTGTTGAATAATAATGGTGGTATGATGTCAAATAGTTATCATGAAACAACATCAGATATTCCTCCATCTACCACTACTCTAATACGTACATTATCCTCAACTGAACGTGATTATTATTCAACATCATCAACAACCATGTCAAGTTGGTCAAATACTGTTAGACGATTAAACACTGCTTATTCATCAACAATCAATTGTCTAAATGAAACGATATCACATTCATCAGATTATCAAAACCAGAAAAAAATTACAAAAGGAGTAGAAATTAAATATCCAAAAATAACAAAATCATACAATAGAGATGACATACCAACAACAATATCATCATATGCTAATATTGTTGCAAATAAAATTTCAAGTCTTTCATCAACAGTTGAAAATCAAACTTATGCAGATAATTCAAGTTTTCTTTATCCATCGGAAGATAAACACCAGCCAACAAATTTTGGAACAAGTTATTGTGTTTCAGGTATACAATTAACGACACCATTAATCGAACAAGACAAAGATAATAGTACTGGTGCTGAAAATAATACTTATCCTCTTTCTACATCCTCGTCTATTTCATGCGCCACTCAGCCATTGTTTAAATCATCTTTTGAAAAAACTAATCAAGATGCAACACGATCTCCAGTATCTTACACATTACCAATCTCATTGGTATCACGTCGACGACAATTCACAGCTTCTTCATCTATAACGTCTTCATCTTCTTCTGCATCTTCGTCTTGTTCAACAAGTCCAAGAAGCAATAGAACTCCCCTATTACCATCCAAACTCAAACCACAAGAAAAAACAAATATTTTTAAACCAACAATCGTTTACATAACCAAACCAACTGAACTTGAACAATTTAATCAAAAAATAAATCAAGAAAAACCTGTTGAGAAAAAAAACAATGAAAATGGCATTGATAATGAAAAACAAGAATCAATTGCGAATATAATTAAAAAATTTAATAAAATTATAGCAACTGATACAACAACAACAACCACAAGTGTAATGAAAAATGAGGATGTTTCAGTACCACAATTACCTACCAATATTTTATTAACCAGAGCAAAATCGTTTAGCGATCATCGTCCTCCTGAGGACATCACGATTAAGAATATTGAAGCAGGTATAGCTCATTGTCTTTTTTTAATCAAATTTTTCTCTAAACAAAAGGGGTATTTTAAAAAAGACTTAGTAGACAAAAAAGGTTTTTCATATCTACTAAACCCAAAAGAGTTCTGCCTTAAACCTCAAAAAAGCTTTTACTAAATCCATTTGAGAGATTCATAAAATGTCACTAGATAGAATCCTTTCGGTATCATAATTCACTTTGACTCTGTTCTTGAAGAAAACTTCTAACATATTTATTAGTTTCAATCTATACAGGTGAATTGAATTGATTATTGTTATTATCATGAAATAGCATCTGTAAATTTTTTCTCTTAAATTTTCAGTCTCTTTAGAAGAAAAATTAGGTGAAACATTATCGACAAAACCTAAAAGCTATAAGCTTGATAATTTCGAAACATCATTCGAAAAAGAAGAAGTAGAACAACAACAAGACTATCGCAAGACAATTATTAATCATCCAGTAGAAAGCAGTCTCATTGATGAAGAAAAAGCATTTTCGTTTTCATTTACTTTTGATAAAAATAAATTATTCGATGATCAATATCGATCATCACCATTTGAATTTAAAGATAATTCACCATCTCCATCACCGTTACCGTTACAATCCACTGAACTTGACGAAGAAGAAGATGAGAGTAGTAGTGACGAAACAAATTCAAAAGAAGAGACAACGTATACGGTCGAAACATTTTATAAAAGTGATTTAAAAACACCATATCTAACGAACAATCATCAAGTAGTAGTCATTAGAGAAAGTACAACAGAAGAACAATTTAATGTTGCCGATACATTGACTAAACAACCATCATCATCTGTTATCACAACATTAGAACTACCTTTATTAAAACAATTTAACACTGGTACTGTTATTGATGAACTTTCACCATTGCCACTAATTGTTCAAAATGAAGAAACAAAATTAACTCCTCCAGTTCCTGAAAAATCACCTACAAACATTAGAATGAACAATAAAATAACAAAATCATTACCATTACCTAAACAACAATCCAAACCAATAGTAGCATCGCCAAGAGCAGTAATTAATCAAAAACCAGTTGTCATTAAACAAATTCCAAAATATACACTGAAAAAATCTGTGCGAAATGATAATAAACCAAAAGTAGTTCAAATTAAAAAACCACAATCATCTCAAGTTACCACATCAAAGTTAACGACATTCAATCATCAAGATCAGATGGGAGTGACAAAATTGTTATCACCATTATCGATGAAACCCACACTAGTTAAACAAAAGCAATTGACACCACAGCATCCTGTTTTAACGTTTCTTAATCTTAGTATTAAACAAACATCGAAACAAATACAGACACCACCAACAAAACTAGTTGGTAATAATGAAGCAGATAAAATTCAAAATGATCAACATCCAACATTGTAAGTTGAAATATATCTTTTTCCATTGTATAAAAAAATCTTATTTCTATTCAACTAATGAGTTGAGTTAAAAATTTATTATTAACAAAAGCTTGGCTTATATTTCAAAGAACAAACTAAAACATTCAACAGAAAAGACGGAATATTATTTTCAACATTTTTATTCTCATAAAATTAACATTGTAAAAAAACGTATTGTCTAGTATAGAATTTCAATTTATACATTTGATATTTTTAGTTTTTCTCTTATTTAATAGATAAGTTACTTTTCTTTTCTTTTAGTTCTGATCAGTTAATACAACAGGTGATTAATGATGATGATAATGATAATATAACGATTAATCCATATACAAATTCGTTTGTTCAAGTTCATAATAATACTGATCAATTTCAGCATATCAATAATAATAGTAATGCTGAATGTTCTTGTTCTTCATCGACATCTTCGTCATGTTCTACATCATCAAGTGTATCAACTGTTTTAAATAATGAAAATAATATGACAACAAAAAATAGTAGTCCACCACTATCACCTAATTTAAATAATAATAATAATAAAATTTTATTAACAAAACCAGTCAATGGTAATTATAAAAAGTCAATAATACCATTATCACAAAAACGTGTTGAAACACTGGCAAATCGTGTCACAACTCTTCGTCCATTATCAACGATAAAAAATACAATTAATCAACCTCATCATTCAATAGGAGATGAATTATCGCGTTTTAAAATTACAAATAATAAAATTAGTGACAGAAACAATAGTACAACACTACTACCAACATCTAGTACATTAAAACATCCAATCAATAAAACTATTCACGTTAATAACAATAATAATAATAATAATATAAAAGTAAATATAAAGAAACCGAATTTAATAACAAAAACTAAGAACGAAAATCAAATACAACAGCAGGTAATGTGTGTAAAGTAAAAATATGATTTTTCTATGTTAACTGCGAGATCTAATATGAATTTTTTTAGAAAATTATTACGAAACAACATAAAAAATCTACGGACGACGACCATAATAATAATATGTTATCAAAACAAAATAATATAGACTCATCAGATGATATTGTTCTAGAAATTCAAACAGGTAAATCAACGCTTAATCTGTAGATAATTCACTATGAAAATGAATACTGAAAGAAATGAGAATGAAGTAAAAGTAAACTAAAAGACACTATGATATTATCAACTGCAAATATCCATATTGTTTGCAGAAACAAAATATTATTTTAGGCAATAAGTTAAAGTTCTACAAAACAATGTTCTTCACTTCTTTCTCCATTGAAGTTAGGAGATGGTGGGGGCATCACATTATGAGTAAAAAAATCTTTTTCTGTACATTCAGTATGTTTTTTTTTTGTTTCATCCACTGCACAACGTTTTTGCTGTTATTCATATTATTTATTAAGATGTCATAGAAATTAAAACATTAACAGCTTATTGACTTTTATAAAGGTCATTCTGTTTCAACTTCTCAAAAATCTGAAGAATATTCGTACTAAAGTTACATAGTCACATTTATCCTTTATGTCAACAGAGTATAAGAATAAAATAGTTTTCGATCAATTTAAATGAATGATTTATACGCAAAAAAAATTGAATCATAAATTATTTTAAAAAAACGTTTAAACTGATTTAATTATCGTTCAAATTTTTTCGTGTACAACGAGAGTTGAACCGGCAATCCACGTCTGATTATGTGTACGTCACACAAGATATTAAAGAAAAAAAAAGAATAGTTGTCGATTTCGAGACATTCAAGACATTCAATTTAGTATTGTACAAATATTTTTTCTCTGCTAGTTAGTTATATCATCTTTTTATGAAAAAAACAAGAGAAAATATATAATTTCATTTGTTTCTTGTTTGTCATATATTTTTATTCGTACAGTGTGACACCATACATGACAGAATGTAGGACGAGTACATATACAGAAGACAAAAAGAGTCTTTAGTCTAGACTGCAGTTTAAAAAAACAAAAAACGAAACTATACACATTTTCTTCTCTATTGTGTATAATTTTTTGAGAAAAAATATTTTTAAAAAAACGAATACTCTGACTTTAATAAAATAACAGAATAGTGTTGCAGTTTCGTTTGGAAACGTCATAAATGAACTGATGTATCGTGAAAAACAAAGTCTTGTTCGTTTAGATCCAATTGAAAAAGATGAATCAATACGTTCGGTGAGCAATGATGATCATCCTCAAAGTGGAAAACAAACGGAATCATCTTCAATTTTATTACCACAATCAAAAATATATAAAAATCGAGTTCGCACAATGGTAAATCAATTGAACGCTGTTCAAACAACCCCATCATCTGTGCCATCAGCACCACGTATGGATAATAATAATAAATTGAAAAATGGATCATCATCACAACAACCACAACAACGTCAAACGCTAACACGACGACAATCAACTGAACCTGTGAATCATGCTACACCTGCACTGCATACGAATTATGCCATTGTTACGCCTACAACGGAAGATTACGTAACAAAAGTCGACGATAAACAAAATTCAACTATGTCCGATTATTCTACGAAAAAGAACACATCCATTCCAACTCCAACAGCATTAACTCCGATGAATAACGGACGACCGATATTACAGCGTGCTGTCACGATTAGTGAACCAAAAGTTAATACCAATATACCATTATCTTATAAACGAAGGTAGAAATCTAGAATCTGTCAACATCATCTTTTCTCGTGGATCTAAACTGTAGACATTAGCTATCTCTAGACCAAAACAAATGTTTTCTAATTTAGAGTACCTTTAATACGATCGACATCGAATGTCAAAGATGGACTGATGAGATGGTGTCAAGCACAAGTCAAAGATTATCCGGTTCGTAGATAGATCATTTCCGATAAAATACAGTTCATCGTTTACTCTTTACTCTAGAATGTAAATGTGACAAATTTATCAAGTTCCTGGAGTGATGGTATGGCATTTTGTGCCTTAACTCATAAATTTTTTTCCGATGCATTCGATTATAATACACTCAAACCAACAAATCGAAAAGAAAATTTTGAACTTGCTTTTAGAGTAGCTGAGTAAGTGTATATAATTCAATTCTATTCACATGTCAATATACTAAAATATTCGTCTATTTCTATTTTAGAGAAAGAGGTGGAATTCCAAGATTACTTGATGTTCAAGATATGATAACAATGGGTAATTCACCAGATTATAAATGTATATTTACCTATCTTAATTCATTTTTGAGTAAAGTCAAAGATATACATTCATAAACTACAATTGAATAATAACACGAGCTATCGTTTTATACCTGTACATACAACAATCGTTTTAATGTGTTAATTCTGTTGTACATGTTTTCTTTGTTGCAAGTATTAATAGTCGTTAATCAATTTGTTCTTTTCTTTTCTTTTCTTTTCGTTTTTGTGTAATCAATTCTTTCTCATTTTTTTACAGTTAGGTTAATACAATTTCGAACGTATCGGGGTTAAATTCAAATAGCTAAAAATATATATTCAGCAAAATGATGCAACAGATCGAAAAGCGTTATTTTATTGCACTAAAAATATCTCTTACCGAAAAAGTACGTATCGCTATTCTTCGTACTTTTTTCCTCAGGTAGAAAACGCTAGTATATTCTTTTAAAAAGTTTACTATGGCATATCATACAGAATTACTGACCAATAAAATAGTGTAAAAGTGACTAAAATTGGTTCATACAGTTATCAGCATCATTAAATGTCAGCTAATGCGACACGAAGGGAGCCCAGTGAGTAGTCAACTAAACTATTCACTGAAGAATTAAAAATAATTATCTAATTGGGACATTTGATTATCCTCTTTTCGAGTATTTTAGAACCAATTCCTTAGGCTTAGTGTTTGGAAAATACTTAGGAAAAGCTAGACTTATTTTGAATCTTAGTTCGCCACATGAAAATCCAACTATATCTAACATTGATGATCTAATTGACTCAGAAGAGTGCTCTATGACTTACACCATAATCGATGATGCCATATCAACTATTCAGCATGTAGGGAGAGGAGCATGGTTATGTAAATGTGGCATTAAAGATGCGTTCAAGTTGCTCCTTTTCCATCCTCGTTTACGGTTTATAATAACAATGTCGGTGGAATTCAAAGCTTTACTTTTAGACGCGATTACCATTTGGTAGTTGCAGCAGTCATCGCATTTTTGATAGTCTATCTCAAGTCATCGTGCGGATACTTAGAAATAACTATCATACTACATACATTCCCCTATAAAAAAAAACTTCGGCACTGGTGCGCACCGATGCGAGATTTTTACGGTTTTTCGTCGACTAGGCATTCCACTATCTCCTTCAAAAACCATCGAATCTTTCACAACTGTTGAATATTTAGGAATCGCATTGAACACGATAGCTTTTGAATTTAGCTTTCCTCCAGAAAACGTTTCGAGGATGTCATCAATTATTAGTCGATACGTTAACAAAAATAAAATTACAAAAAGAGAAGTGCTTGTAATCAATGGCCATTTAAATTTTTGCCACGCGTGTAATCACTCCTGGACGCTTCTGGTGGTGCAGGATTCGGAGGAATTTTAGAATGTGAATGATTCGCAGGCAAAAGGAAGGGTGATTTTATACCAGTTAGACAACATGTGCGTGAATATTTACTCCTCGAAATTGTGCCAGTGGATATCTTGTAGCAGTACGATCTGAGTGCCTAAGAAGAAATGGCTAGAATCCTTTTCGTCAAGCTAATGGTGTCCGAAAATTCACAGTCTTTACTTTACTGAAAGCTGCAGAAAGATTAGAAGGACCACCTAGAATTCGTAAACCAGTCACTTTTACATTGCTCTACTGAATGGTACATACTTTTCAGCTTACTGGGATTCAATGTTAAAAGCTGTTTTTACTATAACAGCGTGTTTCCTGCGACCATGGTTCTGTATATTTGCAGTTTCCCGAACCCTTTCTAGGTTTTTTAAAATGCCTATCTTTTAAGAGAGCAGCAGAGGTTTAACGTTGAAGTAGATAAATACCATCCATTGAAAAATTTATCATTACAACACCTCAAATTAACAAATTCAAAATTACTAATACATCTCAAAAACGTTCTAAAACGGACAGATGTTGTCTCGGTTTTATCATTAGACTTTTATAAAATGCCACACTCACTATCTCCAATACTAGCTACACAGAAATATCTAAAACGTCGTACAGCTTTAAAACCAAATTCCTCACAGCATCCACTTCTCTTGATACGTAATGGAAAAGCCTTGGCACGAGCAATCATGATGGAGATACTCAGAACACTGTTAGCATCTTTAGGTTATACTGCAACACACTACTCAGAATATTCTTTTCGTATTGGTGCTACTACTTCTGCAGCAAAAGCAGGAGTACCTATCTATTTGATCAAGATTTTAGGACGATGGAGTTCGCAAGCTTATTATCGTTACATTCGTACTTCTGCATCTTGTATTATACGAGCTCTTACAACAATAACTGCTGTTTAGGGGGTACTTGGAGTCTTCTCGTAGTGGCCGTTTTACCCTCTCCCTCCTATTCTTGTATTTAGTTTTACGTTTGTTAGTACTTTGTGCCCATTATTTGCCAAAATATAAGATGAAAAGCGAATCGTCTATGAGCAGAAGCTTCCTGGGCATGAAAGTAAAACCATTCGAAAAAAGTAAAATTTTTTGTATAATTGAAGTAATATGAACATCTCCATGGTGATACTGATCAACATAGAGACCTAAGTATTATTAAAAATTAACTACAAAATGATCGGTTTCTGTTTCTTCTGTACTTATCATTTATTCTTTTTAATAACGTCAACTGTCGAATACAGATCAACAATTGTACCTGACTCAGTAGAGAATGTACATAAAAAACATAAAATGTAACAGAAAATAAAACAAGTAAACACTGTACTGTTTTTGTATAAGAATAAAATAGAAAAAAATTATACTCAAATATGAGAAGCAATCCCGAACAAGAAATAGGCTGGCTGTACATGGAAAGAAAGTGCATTAGGTTTTTATATGAAAGAAAGCAAAAAATAACGAAAAACAAATTATTGGAATGATTCTTATTCACTAGTCATCAATCATACTCTAAAAAATTGAATCAGCTATGCGGTTTTATCAGGACCTGAATCAAAGTCTGAATCTGCTTGAAAAAAAATAAAAACTAATTTTTTTCTCTGTTGCTTCTTATCTCAGAGTTGAATATTCTTGTCAGTACTTTTAAGCGTGAGTTAGCTAATCATTAAATGCCGTGAACTTAGGAAGCGCGTTTTATAATATTAATCATCTCTCCCTACTCGTAATAACACTGTTCTTAAATATTGGTAATATTCTAAATTATCTAATTTTTGTAGTGTTCTAAATTTTTCTCAGGATTTAGAAATATTTGTTATTTACTTAGGGTATACCAAAAGTAACGAGATTTGCAGGTAAAACCCTACAGACTAGGAGTAATTAAGTTTTCACTTCAGCAACTATTTGAGCTAGTAGACATAATTACCCGCGCACAATAAATTTATTTCAAGACATTTGCTGAAAGTTTTTTTCGAATCATCTTTGATTAAAAAATTGAGTATTTTGGTTATAGCACTGTATACAAAGATTAAGAACTATTTTGATCCGTTAATTTTCTTGAACATAGCCGACTAAAGAAATATAGCGAATAAATAAAGTGGTAGTAGGTCACAAGTTCTAGATTTGACACACATGAACGAACTTCAGTTCTTCGAATTAGAAGGATTGCAAGAGAGGAATCTCTACCGGCTACAGTTTGACGCAACAAGTTAGCCTCACAACAATGTTCTCAAACTAACTAACCAAATACTCTTAAAAAATCGACAGCTACGAAAAGAGAGCAAATTTCTAATCACCAATATTATATCAAAAATTCCCTAAAACTACTTATCAACGGAGTGAAACAGCAAAGATCATCAGCTAGTGTTTCGAACATCAAAAGACATTACGACAACGTTCAACCGCATATTCACGAAGCCGTTTTTTAGTATCTCACATCAAAACGTATCTAAATATTTTATATTCTACGGGTCTAATACTACGTGTTTTTCAGATGTTATATTTAATTCATAAGCTTAATAAATCAAACGACCTTTAATCACTGTATTGAGTGCCGTAACAAAATTTATGAGTTTTTCAATCAAAGATGATTCGAAAAATTATTTACACCTCTGTTTTTTCTATGTTTTTTAAGTTGTGAGTCTTTACTTACCGTGGGAGCTAATATAATTATTCGATTGCCCCTCACGTTAAATAAACTATGTTTACATCAAAAAACTTTCACAAATGTTGAGAAACAAATTTTATTGTGCGTAGGTAATCATGTCTACTAGCTCAAATACTTGCTAGAGTGGAAACTTGATTACCTCTAGTCTGTAGAGTTTTACCTGCAAATCTCGTTACTTTTGGTATGCTCTAAGCTTTTATGAGAAGCTTTTTCTTCTAATAGATCTGAAAAAATTCACTACTGATTCCAGCATCTTATTTAGAGATGAATGAGCTAATCAGCATTTTCATCTCTGGATCAGAACATACGTTTTAATGAGATCTGATCACACTCTGATAAAACTGCATGGTTAATTTAGATGTTTAGACTGAGTTGACTGTTAACCAGTGTTGTTTGATTTTTTGAGAAAAACAAGAGAAATAGCGAATAAGAAAACCGTCATAGCTTTTGTTAAAATATTTTTAAGCGGAGAAATTTTAGAGAATGAAAGGTATCTTCTTTGCTAAGAGAATAAATAGAAAGAGATGCCAAGAAAAAACATCAGCTCTACGCTTGAAAACATTCTTTTTATCTTTAAGAATAAAACAATTTTTTAAAAGAAACTTTCTTTCAAAACTTCAGACAGATCGCAATATCGTTTTCTGATTGTACGTGCTAACTACTGTTTTTCATTCTCATAGAAAGGGAAAACAATGAAAACTTCACTATATTTTGGATATATGGCTCATTTTTGCACATTATAACATCAAAATTCATCATGTAACGCTCGTTCTGTATCCAATAATTTCATGTCTGCAAACACGTCGGCATGATTTTGAATTTCATCTAATGATAAATGTTCGTCTTTTGGTGTATCGTCAACTTTTCCAAATAATTTATTTATTTGACTATTAATATGAATCTTATTCATTGGATCCATAAAATGCTGAAAAAATACATAGAAAAAATTTAAATTGCATTCTCTTTCAACATTTTAATTTACCTGTAATTCTTCTTTAGTAACAATGCCATTCTTATCCTCATCCATTTCCTGAAATTCACGTTTTTGTTCTTCTAACCATTTTCTATCCATGTCTGCCCATTCTTTATTTCCTTCATCTTCTAGTACAACATTTGCTAGAAAAACATATCAAATATTTATCAAATCGGTCAATAGTACAACATGGCCACTTACATGGCAAAAAAGCGAATTCTTTTTCTACCAATTTACCATCTCCATCTCTATCTAAAAATTTGAAATAAATGAGTATTTAAAAATCTCTTCTCTCAGTAAAAAGAAAAAAACAAAACAAAAAAAATGTACCCATTTGAAGTATTAAATCGTCGACAATATGTTTAAACGCATGTCCGGCTATTTCCGGATGACGAAATGCTAAAAATTCATCAATATCTAATTCATTATCATTTCCAACATCAGCATCTGTCCATCGATAACGAATTTTCACTAGTTCTCGTTTAACTAAATTTAAAATAATAAAATAGTCAGCCAAACATCACATCTAAAGAATAAAACCTCTTACAATTATCAGTAACAGTATTATGTATAAATTCTAAATTATCCAGTTCTTTAATATCTGTCGAATTTATTCCATGAAATTTGATATATAATGCATAGTATTCATGCTAGACGAATAATAAAAACAAAAATAATTATTATTTTATCTAATAATACAAGAATAATTACTTACCCACGTTACTTTGCCTAAAAAATAGAAAAAAAATATCGATATACATATACTTTTTATAGATAGAACAAGAAGAGAACAATGTATGGTCAACTCTAAAGAAGTGAACGTCTCTGTTACTAGAATAAAAAATTCATTATTTGTACAATTAATAATTGATTTTTTTACTTTGTCAACTATCTTTGGGATAATAAAATTCTTCATGTTAAAAAAAAGCTGTAGACGGCATAGCCAACTAATTATCATCCGTCAGATCAGAAAGTCTGAGTTTTTATTTTCACTCGAAAAAACACATTATTAGACGCAGTTTTTCGCTCTAATTACGACGAATTTGAACTCAAAAACAAATGAAAAATTAAATTTTATAGTGAAACTTTAAACTTAAAATTTTATTTCCTGACCTAAATATATTTGGGGTGCCAAAATCTTATTCATTTTTTAAAAAAAATTTTAGCTCTTATCTTGTGAAAAATTTTATGTTCATTTAATCTAAGTTTGAAACTTTATATTTGCCTACATCGGATAGAGAACACTTCAAACTATCTATCTATGGCCAAATCAGAGCTCGACAAGTAGTTTTGTAATAGAAATAATATATCCCAAACCATCTGCAATGGACAGCAAAAAAATGATGAAATTTCGTAACGGTCACTTTTTTTCAATTTTCTCTGCAAGAAAAAGCCTCTAGTGATTCAAACTGTAAACTTTGTTTTAGTAACTAAGTGATCATTTTAAAATTAATCTGAAACGAAATAATTTCAATTTTACTGGAATATTCAGAAAAAAGAGGACAAGAATTAAAAAGAGAATAGAATTTTTTGCATAGGATGAAGAACGATTTGATAATTACGTTGAAATTTGTAATTAAACAAGAACGGTTTAAAATTTTCTGAAATAAGTGGAAAGAGAACAGATTTATTAACTGATTAGTGACGAAACCATCAGCTTGTAAATATACGAACGAACTCATCGTTTATAACAATCTTCTCGTGGTTATAAAAGTGAACATTTCCGTAATATCATCCAATTTGAAATATGACACAAATGGTGTATCAATCTCTGCTAGTGTATCCAGGGGTATCTGTGAGCGTTCTACACATCAATCACACGAATCACTCAATCAAAATGATAACAATTTGCATCGAGTTTCAAAAATTCAGTTTTTAGGTGACATAATCCAGTAAAAAGTTTACATAATGTGTCTTTCTTGCGTGTGAAGATTCCTATGTATGAAGTCACTATCTGCATGATCAGTGGATATCTAGTATTTTAGCCATCGTGTGGTCAAGGTATACTTTTCTTACAAGAAGATCTTTCTGGATGGTATGATACTAAATCCGTTTTCACTTTGATCTTTCAAAAAATAAATATTTTAACTATTCTCTTTCCAGTGTTTTTAGAAAGATATAAACAATCGTTTTCTTTTCAATGCCGTTCTCCAATAAATGAAAAAAATTTCCCTTCCCAATTCTATGATAATTCCATTCTCTTTTCGTATTTTATCCAAAAAGAAAATTCATTTTTTGAAATTCCGTAACAGTCTCTTATAACTTTGAATCTACTTGACAAATCCATCTCAACTTTTTTTTTGGTAATATAGAACTCGCTAATATCCATCACTAATATAAATTTTATCGATATATATTGCTTTCTTGCCGAAATAAGGGATACGAAAGGCGAAAAAATGAAATACGGTCATATTTTGCCACACCGTAGAGACTTTAGTATACCATCTTTATTTGCGTCGATCAATAAAAATAATCGGGAATTTTTGTCTCTTGCTTCGTTTGTATGTGTCTCGATGTTTTTCAGCACCCAATTTTGCAATTCTTTCTTCGATAATTTATTATCATCATCGGTATCTGCACTAAATTGGCAAAGAGAATTGTGTTTCTCAATACTTGTATGAAATAGTTTTATATAAACAATTGAGAAACAACATACGTTCGAAATATTTGTGTTAATTTTCTTTTTCTTACATCTTCATTATTCATCATTTCATTTTCAAATAGTTCATGATTACCAAGAAATATTTCTCGATGAAAATCTTTGTTTACTTTACCATCTAATTCTAATGGTAAACCTATAATAACAGATCATAAATAAAATGATGTTTTTTTATACAAAATTTTTATCTTAGTTATACCTTCAACATGTTTATCTAATTCTAATGAATTTACACCAAATCGTTTTAAATTTGATTCTATTTGTGAAACATTAAAATTTTTTGGCATTTCAAATTTTGGTAATGATCTTTGTGATGCTAATAAATCTTTTGATAATTGTGTTATATGATATTCATTCATCATTTGTAATTGCATTTGATTTTGTGTTTGAGTTTGAGTTTCATTTGTCGGAGAAGCTAATTTATTTGAAATAAGTTGATTTACATGCTTATAATTATGCGCTGCTACGTCTTCATGAATCAATGATGATCTCTAAAGTTGAAAAACAAATGTACATTGTCTAAATACACAAATAATATGAAAAAACAGCAATAAAGCTTACATTTTCAATCACTGGTAATGAATAGCATCTATTTGATAAATTTATATGAAGAACAAACAGAATAAGAAAACAATAATTGTTCAAATTTGACAATATTTTCAGATTTACAACTAAGATCATCTAAAAATAAATACTGAATGTTGTTTATAATCTCTAAGTAGACTTTCTACTCTGAAACATATTGAACTGATCTAACTGACTCATTATCGATTACTAGTCCGATTAATTATCTGCTATTTCTTAATCATGATATTTGTGAGACTTGTCAAACATACTCGAAACAATGTATCTCATTCATAAATATATTGTCAAATATCAGATTGATTGTTTGTCTTTAGACTAATTACAAACAAAATATTCTGAAAAAGATTTTTGTTTAAAGCGTATGATAACAACTTAGATTTCCATCTGTCTTTGAAGTACTCAATAGGGATGGGACAGTTCCAGTTCAGTTCTTTTCAAAAAAGTAAAATTGAACTAAAGCCGGTGAATCTACTTACATTGATTTTGTGTAGTGCATCAGAGGTAGATGGTATGTTTAGTTGACTAAACCAAGTCAATATAATTATAATTCTTGAAGCATAATTCTTGAAAAGAACTGATAACCAGTTCCCGCTCAACAGGACCTGAACTAGTGACTAGTTCTTAGGAACTGAAACTGTCCTACCTCTAGTACTCAAAGAGCTTAGCTGGACAGATGTAATCAAAAGCATTTCCTTGTGCAAAGACCTCGTTGAAATACAAAGAAATGTAAATGCTGTAATAATAAAATTTAACAGATTTTTTTTTTTCGAATAAGTAATGAATTTTAAAATAAATAAATAAAAGATATTGTTAAAAAGAACAAACAAACATCTATGTGGATAAATAACAACGACATCTCTAGTAGAAAAATAAATGCATGTTATAAGACTATCCATACATATAACAATAAATACAATAGAGTATTAGTTTAATGAGAAAATGGATATTTAAATTACATTGTTAGAAAGTGTCATGTTTCTATATCTTGATCAACAATTACTGTTTCAAATTGACGATATTGTGGTGTACGATGAATGCAATACATTTGACATCTACATTTCAAACAATAAACAAAAGAAAATAGAGAATAAAAATCTTTAGTAATCTTTATACTTACAAAACTAATACTAAAGCAACAAGACGTGCACTAATACCAAATATAAATACGAGACCGGGAAACGTTGATATTGTGGAACGATATATTTCAATACATGCCACACTACCTATAACAACATCTAAATTCTGAATTAATGCCACAAAACTAAACGCTTTTCCTAAATGCACAAAAAAATAAATAAATTAGGACAATCATATACATGCACTGCTTATTTTCTAATTACCCTTTCCCGATTCAGATACCATATTTGACAATACATTTCGTAAGCAGACCGCAAAATAAATTGTAAACATCGTCGAAGGAATGGCTAAAAAATAGAAAAAAAAGAATGAGATCATTTCTGTCATGTTGTACATACGTTCGTACCTCCATAAACCATTGCTTTATTATATGCTAATGCAAATAAGAGAGGTCCTACTAACGATAAACATAGGCCAATAATAGCCAAATGCATATCATTGATCAATAATCGTTTTCTTACTGTTGCTAATAATAGTAAACATAGACTAGTTGCCGTTTGTTCTACCATATAGTACAACGAATATTCACCATCACTAAATGATAAATGATGTAAATAAAGATAATTGATTGCTGATGTTCCCATTCTTAATAGTTCATAGAAAAATAATGCCGTTAATAATAATAAAAAAGAATAAACTAAATTGCTTTGTTTTAATTCCCGTATTAAATCATAAATATCTCTAAATGGTCGAGCTAATTTTTGCCCGAATGACAGAGTATCAGTTTGTTCAACATTATTGAATACATATGTATTTTTTCTCAAAAATATGAGAGCAATTAATACAGCTAATACTAATAATATAATATGTACCAATAATATATGCCAAATTTTACCATGTACGTCAAAAATGAATGTACACAATAAATAGCCACCTATCACTCCAATATTCAATGAAGCTTCAACAATAGCAATTTTTTGTACATGTTCTTCTTTGCGAGAACATAAATCGGTTGCATAACCAAAACATGAACTAAAAATGAAACAGAGAATATCAAAATGCTTACAGTAAAATGTAAAGCGGCAATTTTCTACCAAATTTAGATAGATGCTAAATAAAAACTAGTCAAAAATTTTTTCTCAAAATTCTATCTATCAAATGATTAAATCACATTAGAACCATCATTAGTACTTACGATATAAGCAACAACGTTCCACCTCCGAATCCGTTGATTATATTTGCTACTAGATAAAGGATTAAAGCTAATTTTTTGCCTTGAAATACGCTACCAACGGTTACAAATATTCCAGTTATAATGGCATTGCTTAACGTTAATAATATTGGAAATTTTCGATTTTTTATATCACTTAGTGAACCATAGATGGGTGAAACGATGGCTGCTATCACAGAAAAACATATCGTTCCATACAATGACCATTGTGATGCTTCTCGTTGAATGGCTTCTTCTTGTATTCTCAACGTTTTATTTCGATCAATATCATGACAGAATGATTCATTCGCTCGTAATAGACATACAGTGGAATAGATTAACGAATTTGTTGCACAAAGATACAGGTAAAATGATGCCAAATATAATGCACAAATTAAACACACAGGAATTGTGTGATACCAAAATGTTGGTTCGGCCATTATAATCTCAATGATTAAATACTGAAACTAGAGATACATTACATAAACAACAACACTAATTAGAGACGTTGTTCTTTCAAAGCGAAAAAAAATAACGTATTTACGCACAATATCACACTTTGAACTTCAGATTTTGGTTAATTGAGAAGAACATCAACATCACTTTCTCTCTCATTGAACAATAGTAGAGATGAGTCAGTCTTATTTTGTTAAATTCAAATTTTCTGCAATAAACAATGAGAATCTCTAATCTGAGTTCTTGAATTCCAGTGTTACGATGAAATAATTGGTTAGTCAAGCAAGAAAAAACGGCGTTGATTAGCTGACTTTCTTAGACGACGTAAAACTTTCAATAATATCTTTAAAATTTACAACACAAATTTTTTGCAGTATTTTTGTATTTTTGCTCAACTTTTATTAGCTGTAACAAAACAAGAGTAAAACTAATAAACAAATAACATTGCCGACGAAATGAAATCACCATCTATTTCATAGTTAGCTGGACATTCTCCTCAGAAATCTCTCTCACGTTGACTTTGAATTTTATATCTTTCAGTTATAGAACGAGTTAATTCGCTCATGTCCGAATAAATATACGCTGCTAAAGATTCTATGTCAAACATTGAACTAATCGAAGCATCTGATTTAATTAGATCGATGTCATTGATTAAACATCCATCTATTGTTGTTCTTTGTTTATGATTCATGACTTGAGTGGCTGGGTATCAAATAATTAAATGTTGCCTAAATATTAATAGAAACACAGATCTGTCTATCACAAAAAAAAGTATAGACGAGAGAGATATTTTTTTAGATAGATAAATGGAAGAAGTGTAGAAAGATATTCATGATATAGTAGGTTATTTCATATTTCATCTCAGATGCATTGATGTTCAATAAAAATACAATTTGACAATTGTGTTTTGTCTACAATATGTAGATACCATAAAAAAAGGCAATATTTTTTAGCATAATGCCAATGTTGAATATATTTATGATAGAAAATCAGCTACTTCGAACGAATTAGGCAATTGTAGAATAATTTTATCAGATATTTGTAATAAAAAATCATCGATAGGTATTTGAAGAACGTTTGAGAGATAAAAGCTTGACTATAAATTGATCGTTGAGTTTTAGTTTGCTCACTTTTTTCATATTTTTTCAATGATTTATCGATTACAGTTATTTTCGACTCACTCTAGTCAGTATCAATTTTGAATAATATAAAACGATACACTGTAACTAATTGTTGTTGATGACGTAATAATTTTAGTATAAAATATCGAATATTATCAAAGTCAAAATAGACGCGATATTTTTTCAGAAACACATTCTTAATAGTGCGTGATGATAAAAGATACAATTGAATAATGCCATTTATTTAATGTATGAAAAAATTGTCTATTGTGGAAGCAAGTGGCCAACGTGGTTCGTCTTTTAACAATCTAAATATCGACACTAATGATTAAACTCTCCAGCGTTTTTAATAGTGAAGTGTGATCACGAAAAACAATGTATGGTACTCTTTCCAAAATGAGTGTGCACTTTAGTATACACGTCGAAATGTGAATTTATAATTTATTTTCAACATGTTCCGAATAATTAGTGGTTCCTATGAGGGCAAAACGGTCATCTACTGTGCAAAAAACGAATTACACTTAGTTTTTCACTCTGATCATGATGAAAATTGCTTTGCTAACCATTTGCGTTTCTTGAAATTTAAACTTTCTTTTCTTTCCTCGTCTGCAAGGATTTCGCCATGTTGATTATCCTTTCTGGTTTAATCCCGCTTATAAATCGTTACACAGAAACATAATAACAACTGTCTAAAGGATTAAACAAATAGGCTGATTCATAAAAATCCTAAGCAAAGCGTAAATAACTTAAATAATATTCCAAGTGTATCGCTGGAAAGAGAAAAAAGATGGTGTCTGCTCTGCATACAATACATTTATTTATATGGATATTAGCAGAAAATTGTTTTTACAAATACTGTTAGAAAGAGCGAAAAGTTCTGTACAAAATGGCTTTCTTCTCTATTGCCAAAAAACTAATATAACCCAAAACAGTTAGTTACACATGGATCTTTAAAACGTAAGAAAAACGACACCGTATTGTTTCAACATATATTTATTATTACACTAATATGTTGCTTAAAATTCAACTCAATTCTTAGATCTCTATTTTCATCTTTGATAGGTTTCCTCAACTTCCATCGAATACCAAAGTTTCCATGACGAGAATCAATCGTCTAATTTTGCTCAATCAAAACAGAGAAAGAGGACGATGATGTTATGCGTCCTATTTTTGTCAGTATAGCTCGGCAATTTTGTCGTGTCTATAATATAATTTAATATTCATAAATAATGGCCCTCTCTCTCCGATATAACGAACCGCTTTGATTGTATCTCATTTTTTACAGCACGCAAGCGGTTTGAAGCATATATTCATTGTCGGATTAAAAGATATAGAATTTTGTCTCATTTTTAGTAATATATTTGATTTAGAATAAATTCTTATGAGCACGGGTGATATAAAGAACATTGCACGGATGATATAATTTAAGTTACTTCCCTTTGTCAAATTTTCTACGTGACAGAGGTGCAACCGGTACCGCTATGAACTATAACGGCGACCGGTATACCGGCATTAGTATGAAGTATAATCAATCGGTTGACATTACTGGTATTTTGCGATATGATACAACTTGGCGAAAATATCGTGTAAATTCAGTTCATTTATGACATATTTCTATAAACAAGGAAAAAGTGTGTATATTTAGGCAAAACACAATCAAGATAAGCCGGTACCGGTACGAAGTTTGTATACCGGTGACCGGTACCGGTATCGCATTTTTGATACCGGTTACACCCATGCTACGTGACTTGTCCTACAAAACGAGAAAATTAAAAAGCGCGTTTTGTTTCGTGGGTTAATGGT